TATGAATTGAATCTTCATCACTTTTGAGCTCTATTAAAGTATTAATTCAGCAAAATCAAAGTCCGGGCATAAAAAACAACATTAACCTAGAAACAAATAACATCAATAAGAAACAAGATTAACCAATAAGAACTACTAAAATTACTACTTTAACCAATGGGCAGACAACACCATACCGGCTCGAAACAAATAACAAATGATTTCCATCACTAATCAATCAATCCAAACGTAATTCGTAAGGCCCCAAATTTACAAGTTGCATTTAATTCATACTCCCTCCGTCCCAAATTGGATTATGATTTTCCATTTACGGAGTAATTCATAGTTCACAAATCCACGAATTTATAGTTCAAAATACACAAATCACAAATTCACATACCATAAACAAATACCAAGTATTTACCTTGAAAAAAAATCTAAGTAAAAAGAACATTGAGATGAAGGACTTCCATTGATAAAGCAGTGGCAACTCGGCGAGCAGCGGCTTAACGGGCTCGCGGAGGATCGGCGGCTTTCGGCGCGGGCGGAGTTGGAGCGTTTTCAACTAGCGCCCGTTTGGGGAAAGGGGAAAAGGTGGGGGAGTAACTTATACTCCCACCATCCCAATTTTGATTATAAAATAAAAATTACGAAGTGAAATTTTATGATTTTTAAAATTATTTTATTTACAAATTGGTATATCAATAAGAAATAAAAATTATATATTTAAAAATTACGTCTACAATTTTACATAGTAGAAGGTAATAAGAATATTTTGTTTTATCAAATAAACAATGAAAACACATAAATAAACAAAAAATATCAAAAAGAAAGAAAATAAAATTGTAATAAAAATGAAGACGGAGAGAGCATAAAATTGTAATACAAAACCCAATTCAACCCAAATATTCCTGATAATCATATTCGGAGTACATGGAGTCATCTAGCCTTACTATCAGATTCTAACATTATTATTATTATTATTATTATTATTATTATTATTATTATTATTATTATTATTATTATTATTTGTTAAAGAGTATCCCACATCGGAACTTGAAAAGAAAATAAACTGGTATATAAGCTCTTGAGTTGAACTAACTAATCGATTGAATTCAATCTTTTAATGTGGTTTAGCCCAAGTGTCTTATTGCCCAATCCAGTTGTCTATACTCATCCTAAGTTCTATCATGGTATCAGAGCCAGTTTTAGCCCACTTCGTTTGTCAAGGTGTTTGTCTAGACGTTCATTCCTAGCGGCCCGTTTGTCTTTAGCCCAGTTGTCCGTATGGAGTATGTACCCAACGGCCTGTGGCCTGTTTAACACGATTGCTTGTCTGGAAGTCCATACCCAACGGCTCGTGGTCCTTTAGGTGTTGGCGCTCAAAAAAAAAATCAAGGGGATGGGAGTCCATTTGCAAGTGGTCAACCGGTTAGATTCAAAATGGCCCGGTTGTCCACTTGAGGGGGAGTGTTAAAGAGTATCCCACATCGGAACTTGAAGAGAAAATAAACCGGTATATAAGCCCTTGAGTTGAACTAACTAATCGATTGAATTCAATCTTTTAATGTGGTTTAGCCCAAGTGTCTTATTGCCCAATCCAGTTGTCTATACCCATCCTAAATTCTATCATTATTATTATTGAAGGGAGGCAACTAATAATTATGTAAGTTCGTGGGGGCGCAGCGGAAATCACCAATTAAGAGCTATGCAAACAAACGATCCACTATGCTGCAGAGAAGACGCTGCAACTTTGTCTAGTAACAGATGACGGACAGTCTGCTATAGCACTTCTCTGTCACAAGCACACACAGAAGCAGATGACGCAGAGAGCGTTACAACGCCTACTGGGAAGAATGCTGTAACTGTAAAAAGCGTAAAAAATGACACCAGATATGTTTACGCAGTTCGGAGAAACTCTCCTAATCTGCGGGGCCCACGTCCGTGTAATAGCCCTCCACTAAATCACTAGATGCAAGTTACACCGGTACATAACAACATGAGGAGACACACTTCTCCGAATTGTTATGACAAAACTTCTAATCTAGGATTTCTAACCCGAACTCTGTTCAGATCCGCTTCGGCTATCACATCTCCACCGAGATCACGAGGACAAACGTGTTGGCAGCCCTCTCCTTAAGCTCTGGTTCATCTCCTGGTTGCCACGATCTGGTTTTCATTGTAGGACTCCTTCTTCATGTAGATCGTAACTTTTCTTCACGCAAGGGAAGCTCCGGGACGCGACGGGAACGCTCTACATCAGCGTATATTCTGTATTTTCCCTCTCAATCGCTCCAAGTAATTCCCAGGGACCTGCTGCGTATTTATAGGCTTCTCTTAACACAATCCTAGTAGGAATAGGATAGTAGAAGTTGGCTTGAACTCTACTTCCTTAATCTTAATCCACAAGTAGCCTAAAGAGTTGGGATTCTTTAGCATGAACAGCTGGAGATATTATCATGTAATCACAATCCCAATAGGTCTCTAACTCAGATTGCAGCTTAAAATCCCGTGCTCAGACCTCTGATCCCGAACCGTGTGTTGCAGCATCGTGCTGTAGCATCTTCTGTGTCAACCTCGAAAACTACAGCAGCTCTAGAAGTCTAAATAAAATAAACCTCTCCTAACAAATAGAGGTTTCTACCTAGTAAAATATCTGACAAATATGGGATTCTATTTTGCCAAAAGATTAGCCAGCACCTTAGAACTAACAAATTAAGAGAACACATAAAAGTGTAAAAACGTGAAGTGGTGGTCCAAGAAAACATAAGAAAAGACCAGCAAAAACCCAAACACAGTAAAGAGTTAAAAAAAACTATAAAAACAGAACACGCCGCATAAAACAAAATGTCCACTACTAATTGCCGCCGTATACAGACATTCGTAGTACGAACAAAGTGTCGATTAAAGAAGAAAAAAGGAAAAATTTAGAAAGAGGATTAAGTTTTTCCTCTTTAATTTGGAACAAATTAAAACTTCCAATTACAAATTTACGTACCTACAGTGTCATTAAAAATTTAATGAATTAAATTTAAGAATTAAAATGCAAATATTGAAAGGTATATTTAATTGATAGAAACTACTTTTTTGGGGACTGACCCGACGGACTCGGTATCGGGTGAGCACCACACCGAATTACGAAATCTAGTAAACAAATAAATAAATAAAGCGGAAGAAGGTATTCATACATGAAAATCACTACAAAAAAAGTGTAATAGTGTAATAGCGACAGACCAAATATGTCGCTAAAACAGAGAGAAGTACCGACAAAACATATATGTCGCTAAAAAAATGAATTACCGACAAAACAAAGTGTGGGTAAATCCTTCTTTTCTGTCGGCAATACCTTGTTTTTACCAACATTAACATTTATTATAACTGTCGCTAAAAGTTATATTACTGACAAAAAAATCTGTGAGTCTCTGTGGAGTTCCGAACTTCCGAGCTTCCGCGATGACGATGTCCTGTTCTCGATCGATGAGTCTCTGTGGCCGGCGGACGATGTCCTGTTCTCGATCGATGAGTCTCTGTGGCCGGCGGACGATGTCCTGTTCTCGATCGAAGAGTCTCTGTGGCCGACGGTTTTAGGAGATTAGAATTAGGCAATTTACTGGTGGGGACTAGGGAGTATATTGAATGTATGTTTATAAAGTTTTTGTTTTATTATTATTATTATTATTATTATTAATCCATCCGTTCTAAAAACACTTCCTCTTTCATTTTTTCCACTTCCAACAAAATACGTACTTCTACTTTCTATTAAAAAACTACTTTTACCCTTACTTTTTCATACCCTACCTATCACATCATACCTTTTCTCTAATAATCTATTCATCACATCAAGGGCAAAATTGGAAGTCAACTATAATTTAATACTTCCTTATTTTTACCCTTAGTCGAATTAGGAACTCTTTTTGAGAACGGAGAGAGTATTATTATTATTATTATTATTATTATTATTATTATTGTTATTATTATTATTATTATTATTATTTCCGTCTGCACCTTTACGGAAAGAGGTCGACGAGACACATAGGGGCCTGATCAATCAAAGACCCATCGGGATCCATCTTCAACCCAAAATCTTGCTTTTTAGATCGTTTATTTTGCACTTTTGTCTTTTTGGGGTTTTCCTACTTATTTACAGTTTTTTACTCTAAATTAAGATATTTAAATTAAATTTTAATATTAATAAAATCAATATCGACAGATAAAACTTTGTTGCTAAAACTATAAACAATACCGACAGAAAAATATTTGTTTCTAATACTATAAACAATATCGGCAGATATGTTTTTTGTTGCTAATACTATTAACAATACTGACACATAAAGTTTTGTCGCTAAAACTATAAGCAATACCGACAGATATAATTTTGTTGCTAAAACGATAACCTATAGCGACAGATATTACCCTTTCTGTGGATCAAATAGTTTTTTCCTTCAAATAATTTTATCTGTCGGTAATATTCTCTTTTTAGCGACAAATAAGGTTTCTGTCACTAAGGATCTGTCGGTAATGTCCACTTTTTTTGTAGTGAATCCAAATCGAGAGGAAACCCTGGGCCTTTTTAGGCTGTGTCATGCCAAAGGGAGAAACTTTTATTAATTCCAGAGGAATTTCATACACATCATTGTAGGAGCTTGAAACCATTAATGGAGCTCCAAGCTTAAAGAAGAAAAAGAAGAAGAAGGAAGAATAGTAATATGAGCTTGTATGAATATATTGGCCTCTCCCTAGGATCTCGTATGAGAAGAATGGTCTCCTCCTCTCTTGGGGATGACCTCTCATCTTAAAAGGAAGTTAGCATATCACATTGGCCCTCATCCATGTGATAGGTCTCATGTGGGAGTACAGTGTTTATCATGGATCCCACTCAATATTAATATATCATTTTAAATATATTCTTCTGTCCATATATTTCTTGCCCCGTCTTGAATAGTTTATCTGATTTATATCTTGGGCTGGATTAAGTTGGACTTACTTGTACCATTTAAACAATATTGTTATTGTGAAAATATTCCAACTTAACAAATTTACTTGGTATTCGTGCATACCAAGTGAAAATCGAATCGATCTAACATAAAAATCCAAGTGTGAAATCCGATCCGATTGTATACTTGAAACAATTAGAATAAGAAAGTAAAAAAGATAATTATAGGTGATGGAATCAGTCAACAATCACCCTCCAATCCCACGATTAGTATATCTTCCGATTTGCTCTGGTGGGCTAAGCTTAGCCCATTACTTTACTCAGTCCTTGGGCCCAGATCATTCATCGTAGAGATGGAATGAGACCTCAATCTAAATTATGTTCAGAATAATGTGTTTGGGCCTTTGTAGCCTGCTCTATGATCCTGATTTCCATCAATGAGATAGAGAGATTAGCCAAGGGAGTATTAATTTGTTCTAGCTTAATTACTTCATGCACATTCTCATTCTTTAGTTAACGTAGAAACTCAAAAATTCCTCAAAGTGTCATCAGAAAATGGGAATATTAATTTGTGCATTTATATTCCAATGATGATATGATAGGTGCAATGGGAAATGGATATATATTCTTTACTTAGCAGAGAATGCTTCTGCCCACTTACCGCCGCCCAAGGCACGCCTTCAAAAATAAGTTCGTCTAGAGTAATGGGTAGGAAGAAAAAATTAGAGAAAAGAAAATGAGAGAAACAAAATTAGAGAATAGAAAGTTAGAGGAGAGGAGATGAATAAAAAATAAAGAAAAAAATTAATGTTCAGGTTGATAGAAAATGATAAGAAAATTGAGAGAAAAGAATCAGAAAACGATATGAAAATGAAGAGAAAAGAAATGTAAAAGATAGTGATCTTGTGATGGGAGGATATATATAATGATGTCACTTTCTCACCTATGTTCGATAGAAAAATTTCTATGAAATCAAAAAAATAAAAGTTATAAATACGTATTTAATGACAAATTCTTATGTGGTATTTTATTCCACAGTGAATTATAGTTATTAATATATAAACACTACGGAGTATAAAAGAATTAGAATATTTGTAAAGAAGAGAAGATCCCTATGTCCGTCATTGAAAAGAGTAAGAAAGTCTGCATTGGAATGTGAACTTTAGGATCATGGAAGACATGCACAAGTGTACATCGTGTATTTAATACTAGTGCGGAATTAAAAGTTACAAGTTCAATCCAATATAAAAAAAAATTGGTACGCTATGAACTTAAAAATTAAAAATTACATATTTTAAAATTATATAAAAACAAATCACTAAATTAGAAGTGACATAATTATATTATGTTATCAAATGACTAATGAAAATAATAAATATAGTAGAAAAAATTTGATCCTATAAATAATTAATGAAAAAATAAATTATGAAGGAGGGAGTATAAGGAATGTTATTTTTGCAATAAGTCTAACAATATTAACGTTTTTCAATTAGATAACTTTGTATTTTGTTGTGAAACCTTTCATAGGATTAAAAAAATTAAGAAAAATAAATATTACATTTTAAACTTGTAATATAACTTTTTATCATTTTAATCGGTCCTATTTTTGTATCATTCTATATTTCACCACATTTTTTATTTTTCTTTTATCCTTATTTTATTTTATTTTTTAATAAGAACACAATTATCAATTTTATTTTTCTTAATTTTCGTAACATTCCTCGTGTCTTAAGAATAGTGGGACGACGCATGATTGGATATGCTTTAGTCACTAGAAATGATTGAAAACTTTACGCAAATTAAAAACATATCTCAAATTATTTGCCACATTTGTATTCCCGAGACAAAATATCAAGTTTTTTCAATTCATTTTATTTATATATTGGTATAGAAATAAAAAATAAAATTTACATATAAAAAAACTACATGAAAAGTTCTTCGAAATAAGAGGTGTCAAGAAGATTTTATTTTATCAAATAACTAATAAAAATGTCGAAATAAACATTAGTTTTCGCGACTGCTGAAAAAGCAAATGTTGTGAATATTTAGGGACGGAAGGAGTATTTAAATTTAGGATAAAATTATCCCTACGTAGATAGTAAAAAAAATTACATTGACCAAAAAATAAAATTACCTATTTTATGTACCAGGTCCAAATTGATATGACAGCGTACGTAATAGGGAGTAAAATTAATAACTCCGTAATCATGAAATACAATACTTTCTTTGTTTACGCATTAAAATTAGTAAAATTTGCACTAAATAGCACTAAAACATAATGACTTTCTTAATGTAGGACTTAAACTTTTTTATTTTCTAAATAGGACTTAATATTGACCTAGTGGGAAAAATAATGTCCAATAATGATGAACATTTACTTGAATAATGACTACAGTATTTGATAATGACCAAAAGTCCTACATTGGAAAATAAAAACATATGATCTCATATTGGGAAAGTCATTATGTTTTAGTCCTATTTAGGTATATTTCTCTTAAAATTATTGTACCATTATCGTAATAAAGTAAAACACTAAAATATCACTTCTAATTAAATAATACTCCCTCCGTCCCAGAGTATTCGTCCTGTTTTGACTTTTGAAACTGTTCATCTAAGCACTTTGACTCATCAAATTCTCTCAATATGTAAGCCTAAATATAGTCATGTGTGATCTTGGCACGGAGGTAGTATGTAGAATTGCATATGACATATTTATTACATTTCAACATCTTAGAGCACTGGAAATACGTTTGAAGCCCCGAGGCTTCAAACCTTCTCTCTCTGCCACGTCAGCTTTAACTTACGCCCAAAATTCACTGGAAATGGGTTTGAAGCTCCGAAGCTTCAAACCTTCATTTTTTTACATTTTTAAATATACATCTTCTAAAATTAAATTAATAAAATGTAATTAATTTATTATTTAATTAAATTGAAACACGAATAATAAAAAAATACATTAATTAAATAAAAAAGCGACAATAATTTAAAAAAAGATACATTAATAAAAAAACTAAGGTAAATTATATTTTTCCTTGATCTCTCTTATTCTTTGCTCGTAGATCATTAGTCCAAACTCCGACAATGTCCCGGGGTCGGTATGCATGACTTTCATCTCGGCCTCCTGCTCCTTTAGCTTCAACTCCTTCTCCTTTAGCTTCAACCTCTCTTGTTCTTGGAGATTGAACGCCCGAAGTTGTTCAACCATTTCCCGGCCGATTTCGTCGCGGGAAGAAGCGGAAACAGAGACCCTCCTGAACCGGAGGCAATGGATTTTGCCTTCTTTCTTCCGATCGGCCGTGTAATGGGGTCCTCGTCATCGGAATCCGCAACGTTGAAGGGAGGGATTTGATCGGTTGAACCGATAGTCTCGTCGACCTCAACCTCGGCGTCGAAGGTGGATCTTTTCTGGAACGATCCGCCGTCGGGATTGTTGAGTTGTTGCAACTTCGGGGAACGACTCAAAATCTTCCAAAGATCGATGGGCACCTTGCCTTGGTGCCCGTCGTCTTGATACCGGGTCGTGGCAAGCCGGAGAACATCGGCGTCATTCGTGCCGCTCCTCTGGGACCAGGAGCATTCCTCGTAAACTCCGATAAACTTTCGGACTTTTTTGTTGATGTGGCTCCATTTGGAAGTGAGTTGGTCCCGGGTTCGGTAGGAGCCGTCCTTCTTCATCTCCGTGAAGAACTTCTCCTCGATACGATCCCACATTGCATCTTTCGTTTGCTCCATACCTTTAAAAATGTATTACACAATTTTTTTAGACACCATTAAATATAATATATATAAATAAAAACATAAATATATTAGAAAAAATAAATTTTTTACCAATGATAGGATGCTCGGAGACGTCAACCCATGCTGACACCAATATGCACTCCTCCTCTGGTGTCCACTTTTGGATTGACCGTGCCGCCTCGGTCAACGTGCTTTTGGCTTTGTGGCTTTTCCGGCGTGTACCTTTTTTCGACCCGGACGGTCCCGGTTGAGTCTCCGGAACCGAATCTCGGTCGACGTACCCCGATTGTGGCGTCTCGTACATCGGCAGTCGATCGCCCAACTCTTGGTAATACCACATTGCGGCGTTGCTTGGCGCGAGATTGTCGCGAAAGAAGCCGGAGCCGGAAGGATTCATGTTGAAAAGAGAGGGGGTGATTTCGAAATTTAAAAATTGGGAAAAAGAAGAGATTGAAGATGGTGAAGGTGTGAGATATTGGGAGGGGGGGTTTGAATTTATAAGATTTTTTTTTTTTTTTGAATTTGGGGGGGGAGGGGGAGAGGAATGACGCAGCGTCATTCCTTTGACGCACGCCGGATCACGCTCGGGTAACGCCGCCGGGGGGCGGTGTTTAACGCCCCCGGGGCGTGAAAACAACCCTAACGCTGGGTGGCGTTATGGGTATACCCAGTGCTCTTAATGTTGAATTTTCATTTACATACAATGAAATTTCATTTTGCCTTTATTCATATTACAACGTACTCTAGTTCTAAAATTTCTTGAAAATATAATACGAGTATAATAAAATTTGATCATTGTGAATGAAATTCGGTGAATGATATAATTTAGGCAGGTAATGAAAATTGTGTCTGAAACAACTAAAAAAGCATGAATAAGATGTGGAGTAGTAAAAAAATAAACACTCTGGGTATGTATTATCTCAACAAATTAGAAATCTTAATTATCTTTAAGAATCATTTTTAAATTCTAAAATTTTGTGCGAATGACTTAAACAAAAATAATTTTACCAAGAAAAAAACCAAAATTGTCTATTTAACATGGATTAAAAACATGGGGAGTAGTTAACTTTAGTAGGAGTATAAATTAATCTCTAGAATATGAAATACTTCCTCAGTCCCAAAAAGATTTACACGTTTCAAAAAAATTGTGTCCCACAATTACTTACTCATTTCTATTTCAAACCCTACCTATCACATCATACCTTTTTCCTAATAATCTACACATCACATCATATTTTTACCTATCACATCAAGGGTATTTTTGGAAAGTCAACATAAAATTATTCCTCTCTTAATTTCTACTTTAGTCAAAACGTATTCATCTTTATGGGACGGAGGGAATATGAACTTGACTGAGTCTACATAATAGGGAGTAAAAAAAATTAACTCCGTAATCATGAAATATAGGAGTAATAATTTGACTTTGTTTACGTATTAAAATTCAAGGCTTTATGATAACTGTGCACAAAAAATGTCTCTCACAATAATTAAACACGCATTGGACCACCTGAAAGAAAGACCATTTCAAAAGTGATTAAAAAATGTTTTTTTTAAATAAAAATAATTTTTTTAACTCCAGAAATACAGTAATTATCATAAATCACTTTATATTTCAAAAAAAAAAATATTTTTTCTTTGGATCGCTTTCTACCAAAAATATATCCCCGGGCTTTCACTTTGCGTCAGTGTCTCATCTCACTGGCAAAAGCAACTTTGACCGGTCAAAGTGGCTGGTGATCCCCATGCCATGATACATGTGGGACCCACTGTTCTTCTCCAGGGGCCCACCACAAGAACATTGTGCTGTTTTCGTGTTTTTTTTTTGGTTTTTTTCTCTCTCGAATAATGAATTAATAATTGTACTGTGTCCGCACCAATTCCAAGGTGGTCGAGAGGAGATGAGAATGTTTGGCAATCAGTGGACCGACCAAATATTAAACAGATTTTGATACCATTGGACTTTTAACTATTCGAAATTTTGGAAGCTAACGAGCAACCTACCCTAGCTAGCTATTTGTCTCGTTTCATGAACTACCATTTCAAAAAAGGAAGAGCCTCGTCTCCATAGGGCTCCATCACACCCAGCGAGCGAGATAGTCAATGAGAGAAAGTAAATTAGATTTTAATCATTGATTAGTTACAAAGAGTAGAACTTGCACTTGGTACATGCAGAAATCATATACTTAGTATAGTCGTCTCTCAACACAGTTGCCAGGAATCGAAGTCAGATCTTACCCCATTGGCACCATTTGCCTTGCCAACTGCACAACGCCCACCGACATTAATTATATAATCCCTAAACAATTGTCTTATTATGTATATTCAGTCCCAAAATAATTGTCATCGTCACATTACTCTATTGTTAATTACTATCACTGGTTAGAGTGTCAAATTCTTATTTAGAGTATAAAAATAAAGGTACTCATATTTAGATAGTTTGATGACACTTTACTATTACATATAAACATTTCTATAAATACTCTTTAGATTGATTAAAATAGAAATAAAAAACAGTCCATTTTTATTGAATATAAAAGGATGAAAGTGCATTTTCCCCCACTTTTCACGGAAATTATATTTTTGCAACATATGTAGTCCCTTCCTAATCTAAATTAGGGGTGTGCACAATTCGGTAAACCGACCGAACTGTACCGAAACCGAAAATTCGGTATGTACCGAAACCAAACCGAATAATTTGGTTCGGTATTCGGTTTTTCTTTTTTCTAAAATTCGGTTTTCGGTTCGGTTCGATTTGGTAATTCGGTAATTCGGTTTTTACCGAATACCAAATTATTACTTCATTTTATTATTTTAAATATTTTAAAGTTTGAATTCTAACCTTGAGTCCTAGCAACTTATATAGTGGTCTACCTTATTTTATCCTTCCTTTTATTGACAATTTTAATTTTTAAAAAAGACTTCATATCTAGCTAAATTTACTCATGCTTACTATTTGACTCTTTCTTCTTTAATTTTTTTTTCCCATTTATTTTAAATGGTTAATACATTGACCTCACTTCGTAGGGCAATAAATTACCGGTGGCTAAAGGTAAGATCTTTTAAACATTTTGATAGAATACTTTTTATATTTTGAATTTTTATTTCTTTTTTTATATTTCATTTTTTTACATGATCAAAATCATGTGTTTCGATAATCTTTTAATAATATGAAAAACTAAGTAATTTATGATTAACTATAGCTAAAAATATAAAGTATTTCTAATTTCTTTAAATGTCGAACAAGATTGCTTGTGGTACAAATTGAAAATAAAAAAAGTGAAGTATAGATGAAAATAAAATGAAATTTTCGGTTTTTTCGGTATTACCGAATACCAAACCGAAATAATTTCGGTATTTACCGTACCGAACCGATTTAATACGGTTCGGTATTCGGTACAAATATAATATTACCGAAATTTCGGTTCGGTTCGGTTCGGTTTTACCGAATGAACACCCCTAATCTAAATGGATCGGTTAAAGTTACTACTCCCTCCATTCTAAAAAAGGATTTCGAGTTTCACCAAATGTAAAAATAAGAAAGTGTTAAATTGTACTCCCTCCTTCCCAAAAAGTTTGTTATGTTTAGAAAAAACTGCGTCCCGTAAAGCCCGTTACATTTCTATTAAAAAACCACTTTTACCCCTTACTTTTTCATACCCTACCTATCACATCATACCTTTTTTCTAGTAATCTACCCATCACATCCTACTTTTACCCATCACATCAAGGGTATTTTTGGAAAGTCAATACCAAAATATCCCTCCCTTAATTTCCCAAAAAGTCAAACCGTCCCATTCTTTTTGGGACGGAGGGAGTAGTTGACTTCGAATTTTAGCCTTGATGTGATATGTAAATATAAGATGTGATAGATAGATTATTAAAAAAAGTATAAGGGAATAGGTGTAGTATGAAAAAATAATGGTAAAAATAATTTTTTAATAAATAGTAGAAGTGTTTTGTTGGAAGTGAAAAAAAATAAAAGAGAAGTGTATTTGAAAACGAAAGGAGTATTAGAAATAATAGATGTATTATGATATACTCATTATTACATTAGATCTTTATTATATTATTACAATAATTATTCTTCTATTTAGATTAGAATTATCTCTTATAATCCTTGTATATAGAGATATATATTTCTTTATTCAATAAAACAAATTATTATCAAATTGTATCGTAATATCGGAGCCAAGGTTCTAAAAACCTAGCCCTTCCTTTTTTCGATTGAGCACATTATTGGTCTCTAACAGTAGCCGCCGTCCATTAGCCCTCTCTTTCACATTAAAAAAAATTATTTTCACTCCTTTCCAAAAAAATATTTATGTGCGTGATCGAAGAACGGAAAAACTGCACTTGTCTGTAATTTTTCTAGAGTTTGAGAGCATGGAAAGCGAAAATCCAAAGGAGAAAAAAGGAAACGCCTCATGCTCACTCCAATCGCCAACACCCTCACCGAAAAAAACTCAACAAACGTAATCTCAAGCTCATTCTCATGAAATGAAGATCTAATTATCTACTCCGAGAGGCTATCCTCACAAAATTGCTTCTGCCGGCTCAATTCCAGTAACTATACTCAAAGCTGCTCCTCGTTACCGATGATCAGCTTGCGGAGATATATTATGAATGATAAATGTATTAGAAAATAGAATATAATTTTTTATTACCTTCTTTATTACATTACTTCCTTATTGTATTGTTATTGTAATTTTTATCCTATGTATAGCAATGTATCTTTCATTATTCTATCAAATCAGTTATTATCAAATTGTATCAGTTACCATTCTAGTATACCAATATTTACATATTTTTATTGACTATTTGATAATATAATATATTCTTGACATCTCATATTTTGTAAAATTTTTGTATAATTTTTAATTATTAAGTTTTAATTTTTTTTGTATAGTAATTTTTAAATAAAAAAATTTCAAAATACATGAAGTTTCGCACATAATTCAAATTGTACAATCTACTTAGAGATGGAAATGTACTCGAGTATAAAATAAAAGATGATTTTAGAACATTCTAAACTAATACTTTCTCTATCCAAATAATCCAATAATATTTTAAAGTTTGACTTCACATAATTTGAGAAAATTTTAAAAATTAATAGTACGTGACAAGAATTTGTTTAGAAGAAAGAGAATTGCTTGTAGTTGTATGTTTTTATTACCAGAATACAAAATAAGATAAGTATAAAGTTTTTTAAACGTCTAAAAAGAAAAATGTGAATGATTTTTATACTCATATTTTGATTTTAAAAGACTTATAACTTATATTTTAGTATTTTCATACTTTACTCCTATCAAGGAAGATTTTCCTTATTTAAAAATGCAGAATGCAAATTAGCATAAGCTGGATTTGAATTCCTTTTTAAAAAGAAATTACTCCTATCTACTTTGTAAGCCTATTTTCATTACTTTTTTAAAAAATCATATATTCATGTCACATCGAATTTTGTAAATTTTTTGATATAGTTTTTAAATATAAAAATTTTATATTTAAATTTTACATCGGTTTTCTAATAAATTATTATGAAAATAATTTCAGTAAAATATTATAAACGAGAATTTAATTTTAGGAGGCAGTACATATTAGCGGGAGATAATATCAAATAATTCTGTGTTCATGAAATGCTCACAGCTGACACATTAGAATATTTGCTGTTGTTAAGAGAAGAGCAATACAGAGTATCGATTTTCCCACCAGTCCAAGATTCTCGCCCCTGCTTTCCTAATTCTCGTAATCCTCCCCAAAAAACCCCGCATTTTCAATTTAAACTTCGATATCACATTGTTAATATATACTCCCTTCGTCCCAAATTATTTGCCACATTTGTATTTCCGAGACAAAATATCAAGTTTTTTCAATTCATTTTATTTACATATTGGTAAAGAAATAAAAAATAAAATTTACATATAAAAAAACTACATGAAAAGTTATTCGAAATAAGAGGTGTCAAGAATATTTTATTTTATCAAATAATCAATAAAAATTCGAAATAAACAAAAGTTCCCGACACTGCTAAAAAAGCAAATGTTGTGAATATTTAGGGACGGAGGGAGTATATACTCACAAGTTTCTTTAAATCCTTTCCATTTTGATTTTAGGCAAAAATAAGGAGAGTATAATTTTAGTTGACTTTCCAATTTTGCCTCTGATGTGATGAGTAAAATTAAGATGTTATAATTTAGTTATTAGTGAAAAGTATAATGTGATAGGTATGGTATGAAAATCAGGGCCGTCTCCAAGGAATTAGGGGCCCTGTCCGACACGGAGAAAATGCACCATTGTGTGATGAAAAAGTAAAATCTATCAATTAATTTTTTTTAATAATATACGGAGTATAACATTGTAGTAATAATAAAATGCCAAACTCATAGTCTTATAAGTTTGTAATTATATAGTCCGAACTTTAGTACCTAACCGAAGACTCGTGAAGTTGTTCTATTATTCTTGAGAGAAAATAGGTTGATCACCTCTCCATAGTATATTAGATTTACTGATTTAGGACTATATTTTTAAAAATAAATCAAGATTTTTTTATATAAATAAATATATACATGTATGCAT